GTCGGGCCCCATAACCGGGAGGTGCTGTAGGGGAAGCGCTGGCTGTGGGGAGGGGGTTGTGGCACCCCGAGGGCCGTCGGGTTTTGCCACTGATTTGGGTTTTGATTTTTTTTTTCCTGTTTAACGATGCGTGTTTTTCCCCTGGGCTGCGGGTGTCCGGTTCGTTCTGCGTTGTCTCCAGCTGCAGAGCAGGTGGGGAAGGGAGGGCTGAGGGCCGGCGCGAAGGGCTGGCGGTGTGGTAACTAAAGCCTCACCCCTGCAGCCCCAGCGGGAGACAGAGGTGTAAAACAATGCGGTGAAACCCCAGCCGAGGCGTTTATTCCTATTGCTGACGACATTTAACATAGAGGTAACGCTGAAGTGCTTTGGGGTGTTTTGAAAGTTGTGATCTGTGCGTGCGCAGCGCTTTATTAATCACGAGTCTTGCTCTCGCTCTCCTTGTAGTTCACCTAAAACTGGAGGGAAGAAGAGAATGGATATGGGTAACCAACACCCATCCATAAAACGGTTGCACGAAATACAGAAAGAAGTCAAAGAGATTGAGCAGCAAGTGGCCGTCTTCAGCGGTTTGTCTACTGATCGGGATTACAAGAAATTAGAACGGAGCCTCACTAAACAGCTTTTTGAAATCGATTCTGTGGACACCGAAGGGAAGGGCGACATCCAGCAAGCCAGGAAGCGAGCTGCTCAGGAAACGGAGAGGCTGCTGAAGGAGCTGGAGCAAAATGCAAACCACCCGCGCCGGCTGGAGATAGAGGCAATATTCCAGGAGGCGCAGTCGCTGGTGGAACACGAGATTACCCCTTTTTACGAGGGAGGCAGCTGCATAAGCGACGGATTTGAAGACGGCATTCAGGACATCGTGTTGAGGCTCACGCAGGTGAAGACGGGAGGGAAGGTTTCTCTGCGCAGAGCGAGGTACCGCACCCTGACCAAAGTCTGCGCCGTGCAGGAGATCATCGAAAGCTGCGCGAAGCAGCAGCTGTCCCTGCCGCTCTCCAACGAGGCGCATCCTTCCGTCTCCAAAATCAACTCGGTCCTGTGCGACGTGAACAAAGCGCGGGGGACTCTGATTGCGCTTCTGATGGGAGTGAGCAGTAACGATACCTGCAGGCATCTGGCCTGCGTGCTCACGGGCCTCGTCGCCGACCTGGATGCTTTAGATGTCTGCGGCCGCACGGAAATCAGAAACTACAGGAAGGAAGTGGTGGAAGAGATCAACAAATTGCAGAAGTACCTGGACTTGGAAGAAGAAGCAAATTCTACTCACGCCTATGATCTGGCACAAAACCAGTCCATTCTGAAAATAGAAGAGATCCGCAAGAAAATGAGGGAAGTTAATTCCTTACTTTTAAAAACAGAGAATGCTTCTGATTTGTATTTGGGATCCAAAGCGGAGTTGCAGGGATTAATTGCCCGCTTGGATGAGGTGAGCCTGGGAAAAAACCCCTGCATCAGAGAAGCCAGGAGGAGAGCAGTGATAGAAGTTCAGACTCTGATAACGTACATTGATTTGAAGGAAGCGCTTGAGAAAAGGCAAATGTACCCCGAGCAAACCGCTGCCGAGCACCAGTCTCACAGAGCCGTCTGGACCGTCCTGGGAAACCTGTCGCAGATTCAGCGGGAGGTGATTTCCTTCGATGGAAACAGAACGGATAAAAATTACATGAGGCTGGAAGAACTGCTCACCAAACAACTCCTGGCGCTGGATGCCGTTGACCCGCAAGGCGACGAGCGGTGCAAGGCCGCCCGGAAGCAGGCGGTGAAGCTGGCGCAGAATATTCTTTACTACCTGGACATGAAGACAGACGAATGGGAGTACTGAAACGGCCACGGCCTGGCAGAGAAGGACTGTCCTTTCCCTTTGGCACTTGCTGCAGATCGCTGGCAGCACGCGGTGAGAGCGGTGTGCGCCGTGCTCACTTCAGTGGCGGGGATTGCATAAGCGGTTGACTTGGCTGTGTGTCTGCGAGCCCACGCAGTCGCCCACTTGCCATGGCAACTGTCAGTACAGCATCAGCAACTCCGGTCAGCAAGGGAGTGTGATTTTCTGAAGGAACAGCTTAATACTTGATCATCAAGTGGCACTTTTTTCCCCCTGATTTTGCTTTAGCAGCCTCGTGCGACTGCAGGTTTTGCAAAGACGCAGAAACTTCCTTATGGTGCAGAACTGGCACAACCGCTGAAAGAAAACTGGACGTGAAGATTCAAGCACGAGGCTCCATCCGGCAACTTCACAGCACTCTGGATATGCTTAATGTGCTGATACAACAGAAAGCATTAAGGGAGGATAGAAAAACCTGCTGGCTTTTGGGTTGAACTTGATTTATTCCACCCATCGCACCTTTCTGGCTGTTTGGATTTCTGAAGGAGCTGTGATGCCAACTGCAAATTAGCATTTACACAGGCCACACCAATTACGTCTGTTTTCTGTAATATCTGAGCCCTCTGCTTTGCAAAACCAAACCTTCTCGTGGTGGAAACTCTTCCAAATTAATGCTTTAAAGTCCTGAGACTCGGAGAGGAAAATGTGTATGTGTGTATTGACCAGATAAATGGGACTGTGAGGATTTCACACTGCCATCCGTGAGCCCCTGAAGACTGCACTGAACTTCCGTGGCTGCTTAGGTGTCTTTTTAAACTCTGCTGTTAGGGCTGGTTTTGACTTTTCTTTCACGTTCGGTGAAAACAGAGACAGAATTCACTTTGAAGTGAACGAGCTTTTTGGAACTATTTTTGTAAAATTAGGTCATTAGCTAAGAAGGTGTCCCCAGCACAGCGGGCAGGTGTGGCTCCAAGCGCGTCTTGGAAAAGGCTGGTGGCAAACATCTCTCCTTGCAGCTCTTCACTTAATTGTTGGAGTAACTTTGTAAATAAGCTTGCTGGGTACTGCTGTGTGCACCTACCTTTTCGTTTGTGGCTGCTAGTGCCAATCACATTTCTACTCTAGCATGGTTTTTGGCATATTTTTTTTTGAGAGCATGGCATTAAAAGGAGTCCATGACAAAGATCGATTTAATTGCAGATGCTTTGCACTTAGCTCTTTCAGGTAGAGTTAATGAATTATTGTCCAGATGATGATTTGCACCACTTGGAGGGGTAAAAACCATTTCAGACGTTAAAATAAATATTTTTAGATCTCTTTTTGCCTGATGAGGGAAGACAGAACAGTCTGTGAGAGACAAGTGCCTTTACACCACTGCAAACTTGCACTGTCACATGTAGATACGGGAGCTGTTTACTGGCAGCTTGGGACATTTGTAAGCTGGATTTCTCACATATATCTACCTAATTCTGCTGTAATATAGGTCAAATTAACGTAACATAGGTGATAGTTGTTCTAGAGAGTCCTGAGAGGGAGCATCAGATTTGGGAAATACAAATTCTGCTTAAAGCCGAACGTGTTGATGTGGAGATGGGGCACTTTGGGCAGGGCCTCCCTGCCCGTTGCTACAGGGAGGAGAGGATGTGTTCGCTCCGTGCTGTGCTTTGGGATGGTGCTGAGAGGCCGTGCAACTTCAGCATCTGAATGTGTCTTGTTTGGGATTGCACCGGCTATCGCTTTGCAGCTGTGCTTGCCAACACCAAGGTATTTTTTCCATTCAGTGCAGTGCTGCAGTGCCAGGATGTTTGTGAGGGATTCTCTCTGCTCCCCCGGCGCTGTAACCCTGTTGAGTTCATCTCCTTATCTCCGAAAAACCATTTCTCCTCGTTACAGTTCCAGTCTATGTTTATATATCGCGTGGCTAACACGGAGTGTGAGTAACGTTACACCCTCCGAAAAACCATTTCTCCTTGTTACAGTTCCAGTCTATGTTTATATATCGTGTGGCTAACACGGAGTGTGAGTAACGTTACACACCCAAACTGTTTTATTCATTGCAAGCTTTGGACGTGTTTGAACTGCAACTTCTGATTTGCACTTAGGTTGTCAGGAAGTAGAAGAGTTTGATGGGGTAATGATACCCGTTTTCCTGTGGTGTTTCCGCCAGCTCTGCAGTGGTTACTCGCAGGTTGTTTTAACAATTTGGTGGCTGTGTTCATTGGAGGCTGTTGCAGCTCGATAAATGTTTGAACCTTCTACGTGAAAATGAGTTTGTGGTTTTCAGGTCAGTTCTGTTTGAAATTCGTGTGCTTTTGGCTTTTCTGAATGAGTCGTCAGGCCTGCGTCTCTCAAAGGCAGATGTGTAAGGTTGGTGTAAGGTCAGTGTCATTTCTGGCTGGGCTGTGTGGCAGATGTGGTGTGGATTAAGGTTTTTTTCCCGCTGGTCTGTAATAAATAAATCGACTATTTAAATTTTATGGTAAAATCCTCAGCTGGAATGGGAGTAATTCACAGGTTTTGCAGGAGTGAAAATGATCAACTAAATATGCTTAACCAAAAAATAATGCACCGATTTCACCAAATCTTGATTATTTTTTGCTGAAGAATGTAGTTCCTCTGGTTTTTATATCCAAAGATTGAGTGACACACAACTTCTCTTCCCAGTACAGCAGGCTAAAATACTCAGCAAAATGTAAATGGACCAAACTGCCAAAGCCTGCGTTTTAGCACTGTACTGAAATGTGAGGACTCTTCTGTGTGCTGTGTCATCTACCTTAGAGCAAAAGGAATGGCTGGATATTTGGGGGAGAGATGATCCTACAGCGTGATTCCCATGTGTTAAATGTATTTCTTTTACACCAGTTTTCTTCAGTTTTTTCGGCGTTTCTTTTTGCTGTTCTCCACTCAGAGTGGAGATTTTTGTCAAGTATGGTTCCTGCTCTTTCAGTTTACCAGAAATCAGTGTCCGTGCTCCTTATGGTGTGTATGTCTTGATCTGTTGCTGTGTAGGAGATGGCATTTGTACATACAAATTCAAGATTAACTATTGCAGTGTTATATTCTTGATCATTAATTATGCCTTTCACTAGCTCTTCATTTGAATGTTATGCCCTGCTGCCTTTATTTATTTTTGAATGAGTTATCAGAATGTACATGATTTTTGTCTTAGAAAAAAAGTGAGATTATTAAAGATAGAGACATAAAGCTCTCTTTTATGCCCTTCTTTTAAAGTTTGCTTTTTTTCACCGCTGTATTTATGACAATAAAGTTCTTTGCGTGGAAACCACTCCTACCTCTGCTTGCTAAATCTGGTGCCTTTGGGTTTTCCACACATTCAGCCTCGCACGATGATGATTACAGCGGCCGTTGCTCTGGGGACTCCTGGGCTTTGGACATCACTGCAGAAATGCTTACAGATATTGTAAGATCCTGCCCCTTTTGAAGGATGAGCGTGCAAACCTGACACTGTGAAGCCTCTCCCTGTGCAAAGCCAACGTGGATTAAAGAACCTGTAGTAGGAGTTAAAATAATCTGGTTTTGACCTGTGCAGGTGAGGTAGGTTGCCATGATCTGAGGGTTTGCTGGAGCCACGTTAGCAGCTCGCTGCTGCTGGAAATCAGAAATCCTCCCCAAAAAGCCACTGCCTTTGTGCAGTCTGTGCTGCCTGGCCAACTCCTGTGAGTTGATTTAATCCAATAAAACAGGAGAAAACAAACTTGAGAATGGAGGAGGGAGTTTTCTGTGGGTTTGGTGAGTCAGACCGCCTCGTAGAAAGGCTTGATGTGGGCCAGAGCTGCTGCAGAGTGCATGGGTGGGGCACAGGGCCATGGGGTGGGGAGCACATGGGAAGGTTTTTGGGAGCTGTAAGTCACTCATCAGCCCCTGTGTGGTTACGTTTCTGGAGCAGAAAGGAGGAGAGCGGCACTACCAACTCCTACGGACAAGGAGGAATTTGCTGCTTTGGTAATGGGAGCTGAGGAAGGCAACACCAATGAATCATGTGCAGAAAACAAAGCAGTCGCTTTCATTTGCTCTGTTGTGTTGCATAGGAAGCGTTCATGCGGTAAAAAGCACAAGCGATCACATTGAAATATCACAGAGAATCTGGAAAAGTCTTACCCAGAAGACATCAGGTAAGAATAAGATTTATAAAGGTTTAATACCTGTAGGTAACGAGTCCACTGTATCTGCTTCCTCTCCCTTTTAACAATGCAGTTTATATGAAGGAAGTACATTCTTCAAAGCCCAGGAACTCATCTGGGCATTGGCTGTAGGTGTTGCTGAGCTCTCTGCTGCCCTATCTGTCTGCATCAACTCTTCACTCCTCAAAGGAGAGAATTTGCCTTGCTGGGAATTCCTCTGTGCGTTTGGGACAGGTGGATTTTGGTGCCTGAAATGGTTTGGCTGGAAAAAGTGTATTTTATTTCCATATAGGCACATCCCCTTCTTTAGAGCTGAGAGCTGAAGGAGCAGAAGGGCTTTGGTGCTGAACTCCTGGATCGAAGGCCTGGGGGTGAAGCTGGCTCTGCTCACAGCTTTTGCTGAGCCATGACAGGGCATGGTCCAGTTGTGGGCTGGTCTGGATATTGTTCTGTTTTATTACATGAAATAATAACGTACGTGATGCCTTCAGTTCTAGTAGTAGGCACATCCACATCAGCTGCAAGCAGGTCATGAACTGAAGAAGCTGGGGACGAGGTGTGCTCTTCTTGAGGGCTTTCACAACGCTCACCCCTTCCCTCTGCATCTCTCTCACACGTAAATGCATGAATTGCACTGTTTGTCCATTAGGAATAATCAGGACCCTTTCTAAGTCTGCAAACTCTTCCTACAGGACATAAATTGCAGCAGAGTTTGCCACTGGAAATGGAAAAGTACAATTTCTTTCTTAATTGGGCCATTTCTCCTCAATTAGTTTTGCCAGACAAACTTTTGCGCCACAGGAGCTCCCAGTGAGACCTGAATTTCAGGCAGCTGATCGCAAGCTGCTCAGCAGGGAAGCAGCACAGCAGTGCTGCGCAGTGTCCTTAACAAAGTCCTGA